GTAATCTTGACATATCTCCTCAGTATCATATACCTGGATAAAAGCGATCACTTTTCACTTTGACAGAGTTCTTAAGATTGAGTTTAAACTTTTATGTATTAAGGTGAAAGAGCCATTTGACTCAAAAGCCAAAAAGCAAATATAAAAAGAAATTCCTACTTAAGCTCTGAAGAAGCTATGAAAAGGGGATGGGAAGCTAGTTATTCAGTCTAGTGGGAATTTTAGTCAGTTGAGCCAATTGCATCTAGTGGAGGGATTAGAAAAAAGCAAAGGAGATAACATAGTAGTGGGATGTTATTCTGGGCACCAAAAGTGCATGTAACTGCACACTGGCAACAGTGAGACAAGCTAACAAAGGGGACAGAAGATGTACTTGACAGGAGTATAGAGAGTTAGCAAATGAGTAGGAGGAGATGGCATATGAGACGTAGGCTGGGGAGCAGTAGGAAAGAGCCTTGGTGGTAAAGAAGAATAGTTTAAATATAACACAAAATACAATAAGAGCCCAGTGAAGCAAACTGAGAAGCCCAACATAGTGGCTACAGTACAGCATTTCAAGCTGTCTAAAGAGTAGGTATTTAGACAGGGAATCTGGAAAGAGGGAAGTTATGAAAGTGACAAGAGAAAACATTCAAAATCTGGTCCAAGAGTTTTGTTTTTGTTTTTGTTTTTGTTTTAAGAAATGAAAAGATAAAGAGAGGCCAGGCACTGTGACTCATGTCACTTTGGGAGGCCGGGGTGGGAGGATCTCTTCAGGTCAGGAGTTCAAAACCAGCCTGGCCAACATGGTGAAACCTGTCTCTACTAAAAATACAAAAATTAGACCAGGTGCAGTGGCTCACGCCTGTAATCCCAACACTTTGGGAGGCCGAGGCGGGTGAATCATGAGGTCAGGAGTTCGAGACCAGCCTGGCCAACATAGTGAAACCGTATCTCCACTGTAAAAATACAAAAAATTAGCTGGGCGTAGTGGCAGACGCCTATAGTCCCAGCTACTCAGGAGGCTAAGGCAGGAGAACTGCTTGACCCTGGGAGGCGGAGGATGCAGTGAGCCGAGATCTCTGCACTCTAGCCTGGGTGACAGAGTGGGATTCCGTCCCCAAAAAAAAATTAGCTGGGTGTGGCGGCACACACTTGCAATCCCAGCGACTCGGGAGGCTGAAGCACAACAATGGAGGCGGAGGTTACAGTGAGCTGAGATTGCACTACTGTACTCCAGCCTAGGAAACAGAGCGAGGCTCCCTCAAAAAATAAAAATAAAAAATTGAAAAGATAAACAGAGGCAAGGTGCAGTGGCTCAGGCCTGTAATCCCAGCAGTTGAGAGGCCGAGGAGGGTGGACCGCTTTAGCTCAGGGGGCGGAGACCAGCCTGAGCAACATGGCTAAATCCTGTCTCTACAAAAAATAGAAGAAAAAAAAAAATTAGCTGGGCATGGTGGTGTGCATCTGTGGCCCCAGCTAGTCGAAGGCTGAGGTGGGAGGAGTGCTAGAGCCTGGGAAGCGGAGGTTGCAGTGAGCCAAGACTGCACCACTGCATTCCAGCCTTGGCAACACAATGAGACCCCGGTCTCAAAAAAAAAAAAAAAAAAAAAAAAAAAGCTAGGTGCCGCGGTTCACGCATGTAATCCCAGCACTTTGGGAGGCCAAGGTAGGGTGGATCAGAAGGTCAGGAGATGGAGACCATCCTGGGTAACACAGTGAACTCTTTCTCTACTAAAAATACAAAAAAAATTAGCCAGGCATGGTGGCACACACTTGTAGTCCCAGCTTCTCGAGAGGCTGAGGTTGGAGATTCGCTTGAACCCAGGAGGCAGAGGTTACAGTGAGCCGAGATCACACCATTGCACTCCAGCCTGGGCAACAGAGCAAGACTCTGTCTCAAAAAAAAAAAAGAGAGAGAGAGAGAGATTTAGAGGTGTCAAGAGTTGTTTCTGGTGTTTTCATTGTTTGCAAAAAACAGGAGGAAAACACCAAATAAACTCAAGTTTATACACGTGAGAACTAGGCATGTGCCCAAATCTAAAGAGAAGAAAGGTGATAACCAGGATAAGTGAATGATAACCAGGATAAAATGAAAATGGCAGGCCAGGCGCGATGGCTCATTCCTGTAATCCCAGCACTTTGGGAGGCTGAGACAGGCAGATCACTTGAGGTCAGAAGTTTGAGACCAGCCTGGCCAACATGGTGAAACCCTGTCTCTACTGAAAATACAAAAAATAGGGGCCGGGCGCGGTGGCTCAAGCCTGTAATCCCAGCACTTTGGGAGGCCGAGGCGGGTGGATCACAAGGTCGAGAGATCGAGACCAACCTGGTCAACATGGTGAAACCCCGTCTCTACTAAAAACACAAAAAATTAGCTGGGCATGGTGGCGCGTGCCTATAATCCCAGCTACTCAGGAAGCTGAGACAGGAGAATTGCCTGAACCCAGGAGGTGGAGGTTGCAGTGAGCCGAGATCGCGCCATTGCACTCCAGCCTGGGTAACAAGAGCGAAACTCCAACTCAAAAAAAAAAAAAAAAAAAAGAAAACACAAAAAATAGACAGGGCGATGATACATGCCTATAATCCCAGCTGCTCCGGAGGCTGAGGCAGAAGAATTGCTTAAAGCCAGGAGGCAGAGGCTGTCGTGAGCCAAGATTGTGCCATGGCACTCCAGCCTGGCGGACAGACAGCGACTCCATCTCAAAAATAAAAATAAGAAATAAAAATAAAATGAAAATGGCAGCTAGTAAGAATTTCTTGGCAATTTTTCAGTTACCTAAGTACTTAGGAAGACACAGTATAAAAGAAAATAAAGAAAAATAGCAAAATAAATAATAAAGGGAACTATTCAAAAGATCCTGAAAGCTTCAAACAAAAAGAATAATGTACAATGCAGTGACAGGAATGAAACATATAATATTTTAAAACAATTTTCCAAACTACAAATAAATTTCTTGGGGTTCTTTTTTATTAAATGCAATTCCAGTGTATTAAACAGCTAATTCTTTTTTTCTCAAATAAGTTATATTCTAAGTAGATAAATTTTACTTAAAAAAAAACTGAATTCAGCTGTTGTTCACTCTTAATCATTTTTAACATAAATGTGGACACAAATGTGTAACGAATTTATGTATCCATTGTGTATTACACTTTTAAATCCATTCTTTGCTCAGTGGTTTGTGAATGCTTAATAAATATCACTGACCTTATGCTGAGGAAAACCTTTAAGAAATTTACCAATTCTACCACCAGGTGGAGAAAAAACACAAGCAGTATCTGTTAACAAAACTAGTACAAGGTCCCAAGTACTTTACCTAGATTTCCACCAGGTGTCAACCAAGAGGGGCGAAAAGACAAGGCTGTTTTTACCACTTAAATACACAAATTCACAATTTTAAGCATAGCGATCTAAACTCTAAAATAAATGGCCTGCTCGATAGTTGTCTAAATAGTTCGCATATTTATACTCTATATATTGCTGTTGAGTCCAAGCTATTACCTTGTCAACTAAAATCCAATTCCCCAAAATTTACTTTATTCTGAAATAAAGAAAACAACAAGACCAGTAAGTTTAGCTTATCGTGACTCATAGGCTCAACCTATCCAAATACACTACGCAAAAGAATCTAAAATCTTTAGATACGGACAGCCAAAAATCTTCCAAGGTATTTTTGGTCATATAGAGAGAGATATATATATATAGATATAGCACCAAATTCATACTTTTTCTCTCTACATTTCTCTTGTAAGGCAGTTCTGTTGATTGCCAATAATCTAGAGGAGTTTATGCTGTTATGCTCTGAATCCCAGGGTGATGTTACGAAAGCACTGCTATTTTTTACCATTCACAATAAAAAGAGAAATGTACCTATATTTAAGATGTATCATGAGAATTACTACGTTAAATGGTCCAAGGCTCTCCGCTGATAAAGCTTCACACAGTCAATCCCTATGTATATACCAAATCATGCTTTTTAAAAAACTATTTTACGAGCTTCACTAATTTCTAACAAAGATTTTCCGATTCTGTTGCAAACAGTGCGTCAGCTAAACCACTATGTCATATGCCTTTTATAAGGTGGTACTTTTTTAGGCTGAACTCTATTCTTATTCCTCAGGACGCAGGAGTTGTAATCATGTCTTACTCTGCAAATCTAGTCGGAGGTGGTATCTTAAAAAGGACTTTTTCTTCCTTCGAGGAAGTGGTCAAGCTTCCCCCCAGCCCTCACCCGTGTCATCCTGGAAACAACTTGGTTGTTTTTCTGTGCTATCTAATTAAACGATGGAGGAGAAAGAAGTTCAGTCTACTGATTACATTATATTTGCTTCTCTACCTCACTCTTCAAAGAATTTTTTAAGGTTCCTTTGACCTCGACTGAGTTCATTTCCACCCTGCCTCCCAGGTACTGCTATAAAAAAAAAAAAAAAAAAAAAAAAAAAAAAAAAAAATCCAAGCCAAGAATACTATGAACAATACTTCTTGTCCGATTTTAATACGTTTTAAAACTCGTTAGATTGTGCTCAACAATCGGCCGCTTGCCCAACCGGTTTCTCCCTTCCCCCATCTGTCTTCACACATCACTTCTTCCTCCTCCCATCCAGGCAGTTGGCAAAACCCTACAGTGCCGGTAACGCACGCTTCGGGCTGGTCACTGCAGTTTATCCCTACTTGCCTTTACAAACAACTCCCCACCCAGGCCTGGTTCCCTCGCGCCCCGTTCTGCCATTATCTTTCTAGTAGAGTTGCTCAGTAAGGGGCTCCAGACAGCACGTCCAGGGTTTACGGTAGCCTGCCTACCAATAGGAGCCCACAATGAAGAGAAGTCAGGTTCAGCCTGCCGGCAGCTCCAGTATCTCCTTCCCCTCCCTAGCTCTACACCTACTGTACCCGGGAGCGAGCGAGCAAGGGAGCGAGCAAGGGAGCGAGCGCGGCGCGGCGCTGCGCGGGAGGGGGCGCGCAGGGAGGGTGGACGGCAGCCGCGGCCTGCGCCTGCGCACTGGGGTTGTTTTTCACAAAGCTGCTCTTAAAGTGAGCTGGCAGCCTTTAGCCGCCCGTCTTTGTAAGGAGACCGCTGAGACGAGCAGGAGCGCGGAGCAGCAGCGTCTGCTGCCCTGACTTTTTAAGAAATCTCAATGAACTATTTGTAGATAATCACTGATCCGGCCTGCAAGCATTTTGCACGGCAAAAATATCGATCAGTGTTAAGTGAAGATCACATTTTATATGTGATCTTGACTTTTTTGTCTTACATTATATTTTTATAGATTTTGTTATAAACATGGTGCTGGGAAAGGTGAAGAGTTTGACAATAAGCTTTGACTGTCTTAATGACAGCAATGTCCCTGTGTATTCTAGTGGGGATACCGTCTCAGGAAGGGTAAATTTAGAAGTTACTGGCGAAATCAGAGTAAAATCTCTTAAAATTCATGCAAGAGGACATGCGAAAGTACGCTGGACTGAATCTCGAAACGCCGGCTCCAATACTGCCTATACACAGAATTACACTGAAGAAGTAGAATATTTCAACCATAAAGACATCTTAATTGGGCACGAAAGAGGTAAGTTTTTCTATTATTGAGAAGTCATTGGACTCATTTTATTTGGAAACGTACCTTTTCAGTTTTCTGAATTAACGCGATTTTACTCCGAGCATAGCTAAGCAGTTTGATAAAGGTTAGCAAAGTTGGAAGGTTTGGATTCTCCTTGACGTTCATCGTGTGTTAAGCCGTAATGCATGCAGGCATCTGCAAAGTGACTGCAAACTGCACTTACTCAACTATCTCTATACCCGGCTTGGTTTGTGCCACACGCACTTGTAGTCCATTTGCACCTTATAAATTCTGCTTGAATCCAATTCAATCGTTTTACTAATGTATTTTCAAATGAATTGCTAAAAGCTGCAATTTTAGATTTTTGCAACCTATGACTTAAAAACTGAACTTTGATCAAGAAATGTAATAACATTTTTAAGAGGCTCGAGTGTTTCGTTTTTAATACTGGAACGCAAAGACTTTAAAGAATTGATCACCGTTCTTTCATAAAAGGTTTCTGTGGTTTATTTTGACATATGGTATCAACACCCCACGTGTTTTTTTATTCTTTCCCGTTCTTTTAAAAATTTACACCCAGCATTCCTTATTTTAAAGGGTACTATCTGTCATTATTATAGGTATCGAATCAGTTTTAGAAGTCATTTAGGATCGGTAATTCTCTTTTCCGAGCATCATGCCTAACTTTGGAACATGCATTCAATGAAACCCATGCCAGTCAAATGGAATTGAAAAGTATAGGACATACTGGATTTGATTTTTGGTTAGAAGAGGGACATACAGGGTTGTCAAAGGGAGAAGAGGTCCTGAGATTTCCAATCTATTGTTTAAATGGTTACATTGTGGAAATATAGGCGACTCTAGGCTTGTTTTTCTAAGTTTCCACCCTTTGTTAGAAGCGGTTCAATCCTGTTTCGGACCAGTTCTGGGGGGTGGTGAGGAGGGGCGCTTGTTCTGCTCTCAGCAGATTGGTTACACGCGTCAGGTGGTGGCGATGACTTAATTCCTAGCCCAAGAAGAATATAATGTTAAAACTGGTTATGTAATTTTTGTGCCTCTCCTTTTTAATGCAGTATTTAGTTCAGATGTTGGCGATTTTTCAGAAAAAAACGAGGCATATTTCACCTTCTTTTTTATAGTAAAAACGTACATCCTGAGAAGTGCTGATGACTGAACCACGGCAAGTGAGAAATGAAGGATGCTTTGAGTGACACCATTAATGCATTATTTTTGAAACTATTAAGGTGAACTCAGTTCTTTAGTAGGGTAGGGTTTTCGTAGACACAGGTACTTTGCATCCAGAAATAATCTCTCCAAGCGTTAACACTGATAGGAGATGCAAATGCCTAGTGACAGTCTTGTTATTTGTTGAAAACTAGATACATGACTTAGTGTTTGTACCTTTCTGAATATGCAGCTTTTTATGAAATGGGTTTAAAGAAACAGGTTTTTCTTCAAGGAGTTGAGACTTGCAATGGGGGAAAAGTAGAACGAGTGGTGGGGACAAATATAATTTCATTAGTCGCACTATGATTTCATGGCAAAGACACGAAGTGCCCTGCCACCCCCTACAAAATGCCCCACCAACCCTGCTACGCGTAGACTAGATCAGTCTGGAATAGTTTCAATGACTTGAAACTGGGAGCTCTCAAACTAGCCTGGTGACCGAGGCCCCGCCCCGGGCGCCCGGGATAGGCGCAGCCAGGTTTGTTAGCCTGTTGCTAAGGCGATGGCAGGCGCTGATTGGCTGGGGCGCGGGCGGGTGGGGAGAGCGGGCTCGCGCCGCGGCTGGGGCGAGGCTAGGAAACCGGCGTGCGCCGGCGAAGGTCCCTCCAGAGCGACCCCCACCCCGTACTCACGTTTGTTCCCGGGCCTCTGGAGGCGCCCGGCCCGTGTCACATCACGTTCCGTCAACCCTCTTTTGGGCCTGCTAAGGGCCATCGAAAGGAAACGGCTTCAGGATTTAACTGAGTAGAGGGCAGACGCTCCTGCCGGCCTCACAGGTGCCAGGTGGCTCTGGACGCAACTTGAGCAGAAAACCCTTTTTAGATGGGAGTTGGACGCGAAGGGTTGGCAGGACCCCCTTAGCTGTCTTCGGGTGGGGGTGCTGGGGGGCTCCTGCGAACGCTTGCTTTCCCGTTAGCTGAAACAAAGCGTGCTGCCCGACCTCTCCAGTCCGCAGGCTGGCTACCTTGATTCGACCTGAGGGGAGAGAGAAAGGTTGGCCCGGGGGAGAAAGGGATTCCAGTATCGAAATCTGGGTGCGGGGCTCGACGGGTATCCCCCGCCCCTCCCCATTGTTTCCCGTAGCCTACCGGCCCCCGCCTCCCCTCTGCCGCCCCAGTTCCCTCGCTGCAACCGTAAAGGTGTCAGAGTGGCCCGAGCCAGATCGAACCGGTCGCCGGCTGGGGCGTGGAAAGCGGAAGCGCAGCGACTCTATCGCCCCGCCTCCCCATCCAGCAGGTTAGGCTGCGCGGGCACGGGCGCGAGCGCCGCACGACGTATGCCGTATGTATAGCGGGGCGCGCGGGCGGCGGCGGCGCGCGGGCGGGCCGGCTGGGATCTGCTCGCGCCGGTTTAGGCCGGTCCTCTCCTGCTCCGGTCTAGTTCTTGATTGACAGCCGGGCACTTGTTTACCACGGCGCGGCCGCCGCCGCCGCCGCCGCCGCCGCTCGCTTCAATGAGACTGCTGAGCTGGCACAAAAAAGGGAGCGAGCGGGGAAGAAAGCGAGAGGAAGGCAAACTTCGGGTGCCGTCGACGGGGACGGATTTAAACGGCCCCCAGTTCACCGGCTCGTTTTTGGTTCTGAAATCCATTCAGGGGCTATGCACAGGGGGTGAGGAAATTGTATGGAGACATAAGCGAATCACCATGATTTTTAAATAAAAGTACCGACGTATACATGCCTTTTTCCTCCTTTTCTCGTTTGATATCAGGGAAGCATCACGGTTTTTGTGTGTAGTTCAGTACTTTTCTGAAGGAAAGTTAAATAATGTGCCAGTGTTTCCCCTACTCTGCGGGCTGATCGCAAAGGTTTCTACACCGAGAACACTAAAAGATATTTGTGTAATTCTGTATTTAGTCAGAACGCTAAATAAGCATTTTAATGATCTAGAACCCCCTCACATATTTTCGATTATATTTTTTTATTTTCATGCTACTTCAAAAAATAATTTGACCTCATCCCTTTTTTATAGCAACTGGAAACTCTTAGTAATTAGACATCATTTCTTCAAGGATGAGGGACAATACTGTGTCCTTATAAGCAGGTACCTCCTAAATGCTGTTGTTTTAATTATCTAAGGTATAGTTTATGCAAGTTTTAGTTGTTGCTAGGACCAGCTGAGTCTTATTTTTAGCTATAAAACATTAAAATCAATATGTGTGCTTTTTTTTTCTTCATCTATTTGACAATTTTTCAGTGGTTTTGGAGTATCTATTCATATTTTTGGTATTCCCCCTAAACTGACATATTTTAAAAGGTTTGCATGAACAGTTTATATTTTATACATTATAGTCTTAATGTGATAAATTGAAGCGAACAGCTGGAGACAAAGATAACATTATCTTACTATGATGTGAGACCTGAGCCTTTTGTTGAGTATATATACTATTTTATAAACAAATGCTTTATAGCTTGGGTCATTTTCCATTTAAAAAAAAAAAAAAAGCCGTGAGTATTCATTATCCCCATTTTGCAGATAAGGTAGCTGAAGACGGAATTTTTATTTTGTGCAGAGGAAATGAAGTTAGAATTAGAACTCAGATCTCTCAGACTTCAAAGCTTGTTTTGTGCTCTTAATTATTATACAAACATCTTTAAAGTTAAGCCACTCTGCAAAGTATGTAAATGTTTAATAACAAATTCTTTGTTTAATTTTTATGTTTATTTTAGATGATGATAATTCTGAAGAAGGCTTCCACACTATTCATTCAGGAAGGCATGAATATGCATTCAGCTTTGAGCTTCCACAGACGTAAGTATTATAAATAATAGACATTTTTATGGATACCCATGATCAGAGCATTACTTTATTCTAAATTTAACTATTTTTAGTTTAAAAAAAAAAAAAAAACCCTTTCATTACTGAAACTTGCTAGAGGAAAACAATATACTAAACATAAGAAGCTATTTTTTAATCTAGTGTGGCAAAATTACAGAAAGCAAGCTCAATGTACAGTTTTTTATCCCAGAGTTTACAAGGTTTTTAAAATTGGAATAGTGTTGCCTTTAACATGAGTGAATTGGAAGGTGCTAGTCAAATAATCACTTTATACTTAGTTTATTATTGATTATCATTATGAGAAAAGGTAGACCCTATCAAGTCTTAGTAGCTTCAAATTATTTTAAAAAATTCTGTTTTCTACCTTTTCTGCTACTACTAACCAATAGCAGTAAGTTTTGAAAATAAAAATAATTAGAAATGTTGTTTTTCTGATATGAACTTAATAGCTTCAGTACAAAGAGCCATTGGGAAGATCACACAAGAGATATTATGACCTAGGCTTAGAAGGAAACATACATCAAGGATACATTAATATAAAACTTCGAATCCAGAATCTAGTAAGAAAGGAAGAAGGAAAGTGGTGTATTCTTAAAGAAATGACGTTGTTGGGAAAGTTTATACAAACTTAAAAAAAAAAAAATGCGTTTTACCAATATTAAAACCTGCAAATGGCCCTTGTGCTGATTATTCTGGAGGATACACAGATTACATAAGATTTTGTCAGGTGTCAAATGTACATAATTCTACATTTGTTTTGTTATTTCTAATGCATGAGATGTTATGTATTGAAAGAAGTCATAAATGGTATTTTTCAGAAAATTCTCTTTACTGTGTTATTTGAGAATTTTATTTTGAATATAATGCCCTCATCTAATTTCTGAGAAAAATATTAAAGTCTGTAGGTAGAATAAGGCTAATATGGGGCCTGAGTATTTTTAGGATCATTTGATGTTAAAGTTCTATAGTAAATCAAGGTCATTTAACATAAATTTTGGAAAACTATTAGCATAAACTTTAAGATTTTATTTCTTTGCTATACAAGCTAATGTGGGAGTCTAAAATGCAAAAAAAAAAAATTATGAAAACACCAGTGTTTCTTGTACTAATCAAAGCTGGCACTCTTCCTTGTAAATAACTGAACATTGAGTATTTTACTAATGAAATTATAAAAAAGATACTGAACTCGCTAAAATAAAACCTTCCACAAGTAAAATCTGACAGAGTTTTAAGAAAAAAAAAATGTTTTATTCTCTTGACATAGATCAAGAGGACTATTTCTTTTTCTTTTGAAGCCTGTAAAGTTAGAGAACGGCCAAACAAGAATTAAAACATAAGTAAACTGGGAGATGCAAAAGTAGTTTTTCAGTGAACTTATGAAATGTGACATTTTTGAAACTATAATGACTATTTCAGGCCTTTTTTAGACCTTAATTAGTTGCTATAAAAAGATGATAATTCCTGGCTAACGAGAAGTGGAGTACTATAGGGAATTTGGTCTGAATGTTTAATGTCTAGAATTTATCACTAGAAATAGTTAAATCATTCCCAACTTTGTTTTTTTCTTGGTCTTTTCAAAATATGTCCATTAAACTTTCATAATTTTGCCACCATAATTAAAAGTAGCCTCCTCATAGTTTAAATGGATTGTATTCTTCTGGCTTTTTGAAACAAAATTTTAAAGACATTTATTATCTATTGTTACTTGGAAATAGAAAGTTTTTTCCCCAATGACTTATCCCTTTGGAAATTTTTTAAATTATATGTTTGATACCTCATTGGTACCTAAACAATACAATATATTAACACTTCTATTCTGACCTACTGTGTAATTGTTAGAAAGAGGTATAAAATTAATATATTGACCTTTATATTCTGCACAGACCACTTGCTACCTCATTCGAAGGCCGACATGGCAGTGTGCGCTATTGGGTGAAAGCCGAATTGCACAGGCCTTGGCTACTACCAGTAAAATTAAAGAAGGAATTTACAGTCTTTGAGCATATAGATATCAACACTCCTTCATTACTGGTAAGAACTGACTGAATTCATTCTTTGTTTTTGGCATATAAATACTAAAGAATAATCACCTAAACTATGCAGTTGTCATAATTTAAAAATACTGGTTTTATTTTAAAATTTCATAAATATACATTTTCTTAAATACAGTCAAGAACACCCAAATGAATGAAAAATATGCTCATATTTTTTATATTAACTTTAAGTAAATATAAAACCAAGACCAGATTTGATATGAAGTATCTCTTACTCAGAATATGACAGCCATAACAAAAAACAGATGTGGTCCTTGGATGATCTGAGTGGAAGAACAGTAATACCTTTTATTGTAAGGCAATATCACTTAACAATATCATAATATAAAATTTCTACTCTACTTTGTTATTCCAATAGAGGGATAGTTGTCAAATAATGGGGACTCATTAGTTTCATGAAAAAAACTTAATTCCTTTTTTAAAGGAATCTATTTTTAATTGCATTTATGAGAGTAATTCAAATCTGACTTAAAACTTTACTTGGTTTAAACAAATGATAACATCTTTAAAGCAAATAGGAAATTGGCATTTTCCTATTTTTACGTAGTTTTTTTATATTCTCAGAGAAAGATGTTAACATTTGGGATTATAATCAAATTGCTTTCTGTGCTGCCTTTTTAAGGCAGTTTAAATGAAATGTGGAAAGGGTTTTTTTTTGTTTGGTTGGTTTTTAATTACTGTATTTGTAAATTGTGTGTGCCAAAAAACTATGTTTATAGGATAGGCTGTAAATCCTTTACCTTTTTTTCCTAATTGAATGGATATTTATATAAAAATAAAAGTAGTGGTATAATTCAAAACCATCGGTTAGTAAAAATAAATAAATAAATATCTGGATACAAAAAAAAAAAGCAACACCAGTTTTAATTTTAAATTCTCCACAAATTTAGAGTTGTATTTTAAAATATTCTGGTATTGATTGTACCAATCTATACACTGACCTTTTTCTCTAAATTTTTTTCTTACAGTCACCCCAAGCAGGCACAAAAGAAAAGACACTCTGTTGCTGGTTCTGTACCTCAGGCCCAATATCCTTAAGTGCCAAAATTGAAAGGAAGGGCTATACCCCAGGTATGTATGAGGTAGATTCCCACAAAAACTTTCTTCACTTAGCTTTTATATATAACTTTATAATATTACTACTAAATATAAACATAGTATTCTTTTGTAAAATAACAGATTGTGCTTATCCTTTTTTTTTTTTTTTTTATTCACAAAGTGGCATATAGTTTCCTTTTTCAAATTGCTACTGATTAGTTCATTTCTATGACTCTTAAGTTATTTGCACTTCTTAGGACAGCTTTTCATGCATGTTAGTTGCACTTTCTTACTTTTGCTTTAAGAATCTTGATTTCTTTTGTTGTTTTTTTCTAACAGGAGATATGTATATATTTTTCCCTCTGTAGGTGAATCAATTCAGATATTTGCTGAGATTGAGAACTGCTCTTCCCGAATGGTGGTGCCAAAGGCAGCCATTTACCAAACACAGGCTTTCTATGCCAAAGGGAAAATGAAGGAAGTAAAACAGCTTGTGGCTAACTTACGTGGGGAATCCTTATCATCTGGAAAGACGGAGACGTGGAATGGCAAGTTGCTGAAAATTCCACCGGTTTCGCCCTCTATCCTCGACTGTAGTATAATCCGTGTGGAATATTCACTAATGGTATGTACACATTTAAGAGGTTTTTTCCTTTCTTTTTTTGAAACAAGGTCTCCCTCTCCGTCTGTCACCCAGGCTGGATTGCAGTGGCACAGTCTCAGCTCACTGCACAGTCTCAGCCTCTGCTTTCTGGACATAAGTAATCCTCCCACCTCAGCCTCCCAAGTAGCTGGGACTACAGGTGTGCACCACCACGCCTTGCTAATTTTTGTATTTTTTGTGGAAATGGAGTTTTACCATGTCACCCAGGTTGGTCTTGAACTCCTAGGCTCAAGTGATCCATGCGCCATGGGCTCCCGAAGTGTTGGAATTACAGACATGAGCCATAGTGCCTGGCCCAAAACATCTTTGGTGTTTTGTTTTTATTTTGTTTTGTTTTTGAGTCTTTTTTTTTTTTTTTTTTTTTTTTTTTCTTTCTTTTTTTTTGAGACAGAGTTTCACTCTTGTTACCCAGGCTGGAGTGCAATGGCGTGATCTCGGCTCACTGCAACCTCCGCCTCCTGGGTTCAGGCAATTCTTCTGCCTCAGCCTCCTGGGTAGCTGGGATTACAGGCACGCGCCACCATGCCCATCTAATGTTTTTGTTTTTTTTTTTTTTTTTTTTTTTTGAGATGGAGTTTCGCTCTTGTTACCCAGGCTGGAGTGCAATGGCGCGATCTCGGCTCACCGCAACCTCTGCCTCCTGGGTTCGGGCAATTCTCCTGCCTCAGCCTCCGGAGTAGCTGGGATTACAGGCACGCGCCACCATGCCCAACTAATTTTTTGCACCTTTAGTAGAGATGGGGTTTCACCATGTTGACCAGGATGGTCTCAATCTCTTGACCTCGTGATCCACCCGCCTCGACCTCCCAAAGTGCTGGGATTACAGGCTTGAGCCACCGCGCCCGGCGCTGTTTTTGTATTTTTAGTAGAGACGGGTTTTCACCATGTTGACCAGGATGGTCTCGATCTCTTGACCTTGTGATCCACCTGCCTCGGCCTCCCAAAGTGCTGGGATTACAGGCTTGAGCCACCGCACCCGGCCTTGTTTTTGAGTCTTAAAGTTATGAAGGCATAATTTTGTCTTACTTCCAGGATTTGATTTTTTAAATTCCATATATAGTGGCATACAAAAATACATTAACTCTGTATACTGTGACTTAATATGTAAATGTACTATACAGAATTACACACACCTCTGCCTCCTGTGTTCAAGCAATTCTCCTGTCTCAACCTCCTAAGTAGCTGGGATTACAGGTGCACACCATCATACCCGGCTAATTTTTTGTATTTTTAGTAGAGACAGGGTTTCACCACATTGGCCAGGCTGGTCTCAAACTCCTGACCTCGTGATCTGCCCGCCTCGGCCCTCAGAATGCTGGGATTAGAGGTGTAAGCCACCATGCCCGGCCAGTTATTAGTTTTTAAAAAGGAAATCATACTTGGCATTCTAAACTTAATATTCTTTGCAATGTTTAGGTATATGTGGATATTCCTGGAGCTATGGATTTATTTCTTAACTTGCCACTTGTCATCGGTACCATTCCTCTACATCCATTTGGTAGCAGAACCTCAAGTGTAAGCAGTCAGTGTAGCATGAATATGAACTGGCTTGGTTTATCCCTTCCTGAAAGACCTGAAGGTAATTTGATAATAAATATCTAAGCTTAATCTCTTACTATTATTATCAAGACCATTATTTTGCTTCTGATATTCTATGACCCTAGGTGAATGTAATCTTTCCCTAAAGAAAGTAGATGTGCCCCATAATATTCAGTTTTGATTATGTCTTTATAGTTTTAATAACCAAACAAATAATAATTATTTTACCTTGACATTCCTTTTTAATACCTACTATTCTGTGTATTTTGACATGCATAAGAACATGCTGTTCGAATTGCGTGTATCTTTTTCCTCCAGCACCACCAAGCTATGCAGAAGTGGTAACAGAGGAACAAAGGCGGAACAATCTTGCACCAGTGAATGCTTGTGATGACTTTGAGAGGGCACTTCAAGGACCACTGTTTGCATATATCCAGGAGTTTCGGTTCTTGCCTCCACCTCTTTATTCAGAGGTGAGTACCTACTCCTTAAGTATGAAATGAACTGGCTCTCTTGGAAAATCAGCATTGCAGCATTTCTTTTTAATACAATTAGGTCTTGATTATCGTGGTAATAACAAAACAAATAATTTAAAACAGATTAAAAGTTAAGATTAGGGTTGTCAATGTTTACTAAGTTTGTATCTTGAGACACATTTTTTGAAGGAAGATTTTATATATACAGGCACTGACAGGAAGAACTGGCATTTTGCAAGCACTGATTAAATAGCTAGGATTTATCTTATTCATGATTCTTTTCCAATTCTTGCATATTTTGACATTTTTAGTCATAAAAAATAATTTACTTGTAATAACGTCTTAGAACAACATTCCCACACTGTTAGACTATTTTCATTCATCTTAGATTGATGACAGCTCAGCACTTAAATGTAAATAGAACATGACCCTTAGAAGGAGCCCACGGGCTATTGAGGAAAACAAGCTAAGAAGCAAAATATTACATAATAATGTGATAAAATACACAGCTAATTTAAGGAGCAAGTTATTGGGTCTTGGGACTCAGGTGGGGCTTCTTGGAAAGGTGGCTATTAAGTTGAATTTTGAAGACTGTGTAGTCCTCAAAAGGCAGGAATAGTAGTCTTTGTAAAGACAAGTAGTGACTAGAGGGGGTATCCAGCAATTTCAGGATATTTCAGAGTGACTTGAGCCACTGGTACATATTTTTAAGGGGTTTTGAAGTTGGCTTTGATACCAAAATAATTCTGTAAAGTACTAGAATCACCTTTTTCTTTTGGTTACTGTAATTTACATAGCTATTTTATAATGAAATATTACTCCCAAATTAAATATTAGAGGAATGGTCATCAAATTGCTCTTTTTTTTCTTAACACCATAACTGGAAGGGTCAGTTTTCTTTTGGATGTGATAATATGAGATCTTCATTCATTATAGAATATTCAGAATTCTTGATGAGACATAATTTTTTCTTATCTATTTTCCAATACATCAAATTTTCTATTAGATGCTAAAAGTGTTCTGCCACTTGCTACAGATGTTATTACATTTTTACTTGGACATTTCTGTCTTGCTTATAAGTCTGTCATTTCTGGCTTGATTTGAGGCTTCCTGGCTGTCCAGGGGGGCATTTTAAAAAGAATAGCAATCTAAGTATAGTTTACTTTTAAGCAATTTGTGGGAAAATTCTGCCTCCTTTTAAAAATTTTTAGCACTAAAGATAATGAACAACTTCTAAAACCCTGAAATATGTTCAGGGTGTGATTTAACTAAAAGGTACTTGGCTTTTTTCCTTCAAAAATGTGTTTTACCTAAAGCTTCTGAGGCAATTTGGGTTGTTCCACATTTAAATGCAAGTGGATGGCTCTCATCCAAAAGCTCTTTCAATAAAAAATATATTAAACCCAATTATTTGCTTTTCTGTGACCATTCTCTTTACACCTGAGAAGCAACTTTTCATTAAAAACATGTGCATATGAAAGTCACTCCTAGCTGGGTGTGGTGGCTCATGCCTGTAATCCTAGCACTTTGGGAGGCCGAGGTGGGTGGATCACCTGACGTCAGAGTTCAAGACCAGCCTGGCCAACCTGGTGAAACCCCATCTCTACTAAAAATACAAAAAATTAGCTGGGTGTGGTGGCAGGTGCCTGTAATCCCAGCTACTCAGAAGGCTGAGGTAGGAGAATCACTTGAACCTGGGAGGTAGAGGTTGCAGTGAACCAAGGTCGCACCATTGCACTCTGGTTTGGGCAACAAGAGTGAGACTCCATCTCAAAAAAAAAAAAAAGAAAGTCACTCTGAAGATAAAGGGGAGTCACTCCAAGACAGGAGAACCTTTTGAGTGTTTTAGGTTCAGCAGTTTTATTTCCTGATACACACATTGCATTTTTGGCCCTCTGGAGTTTTATGACCATGAGTTATTACTTCACATAAGCACATTATTTATGTGAGTAAACAAATTGTTTGCACATTGTATAAACAAAGAGCATTGTTTACACAGTTTCATTTTTCCAAAGTCAGAGAAAGTGATAATTTAACTTTTTTGTAGAAGGATGAAAGGGGTACTTTACAAAAGGAGATGATTGCTGTGAAGGTACTCTACATTGTATATTTAAGTCTTTAGTACTACTAAAGCACTGAGTAAAAGTCTTCATTGACTGATAAAATTTTACTGTTAACTTTTATGAAATAGGGGACTACCAGACATACCTTTGTAAATCTAGTTGATCTAGTAATTAAATATTAGGCACTTTATAGATAATACCAGTACCCTTTCCTTTCCACACAGCATTTCAGATATAAAAGGAGAATAATTGGATATAATATGCTAACAAGCTGTGTGCACTCTCTCTGATTATATGTCTTGACTAGTATTCAGAATTGGCTACATTATTCCTACACCTCATCAAATAACTTTGTAAATTTGTGTACTCATTTCTTTCTAGATTGATCCAAACCCTGATCAGTCAGCAGATGATAGACCATCCTGCCCCTCTCGTTGAAGGAACACTTGGTTGAATCAAGTTGATGTGGGTTCCGAACTGTATCTCTTCCGGCTGAGGACAGAGAAGTATCTGGGAGACACGTTTCAGAGGAAGTGGAATTGCTTTTGCCCAGAAAAATGGCGAACACATGAAACAACCAGCGATCATGCTTTAGAAGCCTACAGCAACATTCTGGGACTGCTCCAATATGCTTGAAGATCTAAGCTTTTCTCTTTTAAAACTGGCACATACTCAGAGCAGTCTTCTTAGCCTATGGTCGTACGTGTCAAGACACCACGTTGTAAAGAGGGATGATTTCCTTCTTTTGATTGGAAAATTTGCACATGCTCAATGCTTACATTGTGCGGTTCGATGTCACTACAGCTTTTTTTTTTTTTCCCTATTTTTGCCAGACTCTTGATACTCTTAAAACTTGTTTGTGGTCAGCACGACAAGAAACAAAAGAAAGCTTTGAAAAAACTTTAACATGAAAAAAACGCACTGACTTTTTTTTTTTTAATTTAATATAGCCTGGACTTTACCTGCGTATGCACATGCTCAGAATTGTCCTACTAGGCTGACCATGTATCACCTCTTCAGCTTGGATCCAGTTGTGGATTTATTTACAAACATCAAATGCCTTCAAGCCAATCCTTTTTGCTGTATGTTTTGCAGCCTACTGTAGTAGATAACGCAACAGATAATGTGGGGAAAAAAAGAGATAAGAGGAGGAAACTCATAAGAGACTGTCAAGATTGTATACCTTCTTGGTTTCTTTTAAGAATTTGTTGCCTTTCTACTATTACAGCAAAGCAGCATTTTGTTACTGACTGCCTAAATCACTTAATCTCAGGTGAACGCATCACTTGCCAAACTGTTGGAATGCTATTTGTGTTTCGTTGCACTGTTTTTTTTTTGTTTGTTTGTTTGTTTATTTGGTTGGCTTTTTGGAGAGGGAAATTTGGAAATGGGACATACACAAAAGTTATACCCACCCACATTCCCTTTTTATCATTACCTACAAGAAGAAACTAGCAGAGCTAAGAATGGAGTGAAGAAAGGCAGTATGGCAGGCACCAGCAAAGAGTTGAGGGCTGTTGCTCTTAAAAGTTATTATTTTTTATTATTATGTTAAAATACGGAATTTTTCAAGTCACTGGGGAAAGGAGGGAAAAGTGCATTTATTTTTATACAGAGTTACTTAATTACCTCCAAAACACATATGTTGGAAATCGTTTTTGCTGGTGCAAAGTATATTAATGAGCAGGAATACATATGTTGATGTTATGGTGAAAGAGCTCAATTTATACCTTTGCTATCTTGCTCAAGCTTGATATAGCATGAAAACTCAACTTTTCCAAAAGTATATAATTTCAAATTTTAAAATACTAGAAAGTTTGCTGTGATAAATCTTTTGTATTTTTGTGTTTTTCTAATGAAAATCTGTTTTTCATTACCTAAAGAACAATTTGCTAAACATGAGAAATCACTCGCTTTGGTTATATATGGAGGAAGAACAATCACATCAGTAAATTATAGTTTATATTAAAGATAATTTTCTTTTGGCTCATCACAAATATACCAGCATTCATGATGGCATTTTCCAAGACACCATGTGTACTGATTTGTTGTTGTTGTTGTTGTTGTTGTTGTTGTTGTTGTATTTTAGAAGGAATTCAGTTCTGATGTTTTTAGTGAAAACCAGCATCTCTGATGTTTCAACATATGTGTGAAATGGGTGTTACATCTATCCTGCCATTTAACCCCACAGTTAATAAAGTGGTTGAAAATAATAGTAGCTCTGGCTTGGTGCTTGACCTGGTTAAATACTGTCTTAAAGCTTCATACAAAACAAATAGGCTTTTCCATAAGTGGCCTTTAAGAAAACATGGAAGACAATTCATGTTTGAAAAATGCTGACAGGGTGAAGAAAGCCCAGTGTAAAAATGAATCACGTTTTAAGTGATTCGGTTAAAGGCTTTGGGCTCCCGTAACAAACTAATACTAGATAATAAGGAAATGGGGGTGAAATATTTTTTTATTGTTAAATCATTTTGTGAATGTCCCCCTCAAAAAAAGCTAATGGAATATTTGGCGTAAAGGGCATTTGGTGGTTTTATTTTTGTTTGGGGGGAATTGTCAGAAAATCCCTTTTCTTTTCTCTCTTATGTCTAACTGACTAGGGAACAATTGTTGATATGCATAGCATTGGAATACTTGTCATTATATACTCTTACAAATAACACATGAAGCAAGAATGACCAATATTCTGATAATTGGCACTGGATCACCAAATGCAATAAAACTTTAAATTTATAAAACTTTATCAAATAAAGTTTTATTTTCCCCATTAAAGTATTTCTTTACTCTTATTTAGAGGCATTACTTTTTAAAATATTGGTCAATTCCTGACATAAGATGTGAGGTTCACAGTTGTATTCCAGTATTCAAGATAGATTCCTGATTTTTTGATTAGGAAAAGTAAAATCCAAAATGTTAGCAAAACAAAGTGCAATATTAAATGTTTGCTTTATAGAGTATATTCTATGGCTGTTTGTAATTTCTCTTTTTCCTTTTTTATTTGGTGCTGAATATGTCCTTGTAGGCTCTGTTTTAAGGAAACAACATGTGGGAAATGATTTAATTTTTCCTATTGCTCTTCCTTGTGGAAAATAAAGTGTTTTGTTTTTTTCTGTTTTGTATAATTGTTTGGAGATTTATTTGAATCTTAATCATATTAGTAACTCACAATACGTGCAAACACTATTAAACTCTTATATAATTAAACTCTTTTAAGCCATTCTGGGTAAGAATTGTTTCTAGGTGTGTGTGAAAGAAAAATTACTGACAAACTCCTAGGCTAAAGCAGTCCTGCCTCAACCTCCCAAATAGCCAGGACTACAGGTGCACACTACCATACCAACCTAATTTTCTAATTTTTTTGTAATTGTGGTCTCTTGTTACCCAACCTGATCTCAAACTCCTGGCCTCAAGCAGTCCTCCCAACATGTCTTCTCGAAGCACTGGGATTATAGGCGTGAAACACCATGTCCAGACTCTAAATTTCAATCTTAAATATGAACCAAACTTAACCAGGTAAAATAACTGACTTTCAGGTACCAATTCCTTCTCACTGTGTTGTGTCCAAATTACAAGTATTTCAAGAGGACATAAACATAAGTTACATTTTTTTTTTTTTTTTTTTTTTTTGAGACAGAGTTTCGCTCTTGTTACCCAGGCTGGAGTGCAATGGCACAATCTCTGCTCACCGCAACCTCCGGCTCCTGGGTTCAGGCAATTCTCTCAGCCTCTTGAGTAGCTGGGATTACAGGCACGCGCCACCATGCCCAGCTAATTTTTTTGTATTTTTAGTGGAGACGGGGTTTCACCATGTTGACTAGGATGGTCTCGATCTCTTGACCTCATGATCCACCCGCCTCGGCTTCCCAAAGTGCTAGGATTACAGGCGTGAGCCACCGCGGCCAGCACATTTTTTTTTTTTTTTAAGACTGTCTCACTTTGCCACCCAGACTGCAGTGCAGTGGCAGGATCTCAGCTCACTTCAGCCTTGATTTCCCAGGTTCAAGTGATCCTTCTACCTCAGACCCCCAAGTAGCTGAGACTTAAAGGTGTGTCCCACCACACCCAGCTAATTTGTGTGTTTTTTGTAGAGATGAGATTTTGCCATGTTGCCCAGGCTGTCTCAAACTCTTGGACTCAAGTGATCCACCCCACTTGGCCTCCAAAGTGCTAGGATTACAAGCTCAAACCACCATGCCCAGCCTAAAAATTGCATTAATTTCTAATTTTAGAAGAATATTCCTAAATTTCTCTAAATTTTAAAAACACTGAATATTCTTTGTCTTAAAAGAATCTCTGAATATTATAGTGCCTGATAACCTTAGAAGTACTTTTGGAATCACATTTCGAATTTTTCTTTCAGTGTTTATATATTCATGCGTGAGTTATCAAGTTGTGTATGTGCCTTATATGATTCTCCAATATTTCTTTCCAAATATATATTCACATACAAGTTACATTACAAAGAGGCATCTAGACATACATTTTGGGGTTTTTTTTTTGTTTTGTTTTTTGAGACAGAGACTTGCTCTTTTGTCCAGGCTGGAGTACAATGATAGGATTACAACTCACGACAGAGTTGACCTCCCAAGCTCAAGAGATCCTCCCACTTAAGCCTCTCCAATAGCTGGTACTATGGGCATGTGCCACTACACCTGCTAATTTTTTAAAAATGTTTGTAGAGCTGGTGTCTTGCTATGTTGCCCAGGCTGGTCTCAAACTCTGATCTCCAGCAATCCTGCTGGCCTGCCAAAGTGTTGAGATAACAGGTGTAAGCCATGGAGCCTGGCATAGGCATACAAATTTATACATTTTGTGTACATTTTATAGTTAATTTTAGTAAGTACTGTCATCCTTTTCATTCAATCAGAAGCCAGCAATAACATAATGTCTTAATATAAGGAATAACAAGCCAGATGCTTAATCCCAGAGCCTCGGGAGGCCAAGGCAGGCAAATCACCTGAGGTCAAGAGTTCAGGATCACCCTGGCCAACATGAGAAAACCCTGTTTCTACTAAAAATACAAAAATTAGCCAGGCATGATGGCATGCGTCTGTAATCCCAGCTACTCAGAAGGCTGAGGCACGAGGAATCATTTGAACCCAGGAGGGGAAGGTTGTAGTGAGCCGAAATCACGCCACTTCACTCCAGCCTGGGTGACAGAGCGAGACTCCATCTAAAAAAAAAATACATAAATAAGTAGTAACCATGGCACTGTGGAAGAGAGGAATGATAGGATGAGAAGGGTAGACCTAAGTTCTGGGTTCAGTAACTTTAGATGGAGCATTGAACAAAATGCAAGTTGATTTCCTTATCTACAAAGTGAAAAAGTAGCTACCCAAGGTCATTTTCACCACTGGAGGTGTGAGTTTATACATTTTTTTTTTCAGGACTGGGTCTCCAATCCTTCTGCCCCAGCCTCTAGATTAGCTAGCACCACAGGCATATGCCACCATACCCAGCTAATGTTTTGTGGAGACAAGTCTTGCTTTGTTGCCCAAGTTCATCTCAAATGATCCTCCCCAGTCAGCCTCCCAAAGCATTGTTACACATCTTTTAAATAAGAAGATAATGCTCTGAATCAATTAGATAGTCAACACATTGCTTCTAGAATTGTTTTAGAATGCTTTTAGATATTGAGTTCAGTACACATCCCTTAGGTTACATAAGAGCATGAGTTATCTTCTGCTTTTGCATTAACTCAGTTACACTTATCAAAGTCCTCTTGCCATTAGTTACAATTTGTTGAATGGCTGAATTTGGTATATTTATCAGGACTTTTGGTTGTAGGAGACAGATAAATCCAGACTAGCTTAAGAAGAAAACTGAATATATTAACTTGTAATTCCAGGAATAAAATATATTAAACACATCTGAATCCAGAAAGCCAAATAATACCATGGGGACATACTCTTTTAGTGCTTCTCATCTTACCCTCTTTAATATTGGCCTTATTCTATCATATTAGCCTTACTTTTTCTTGTTAGATGGATCAGGAAAGATGACGCCTTTTTTTTTTTCCTTTCCTTTTTTTTTTTTTTGAGACGGAGTTTCGCTCTTGTTACCCAGGCTGGAGTGCAATGGCGCGATCTCGGCTCACCACAACCTCTGCCTCCTGGGTTCAGGCAATTCTCCTGCCTCAGCCTCCTGAGTAGCTGGGATTACAGGCACGAGCCACCATGCCCAGCTAATTTTTTTGTATTTTTAGTAGAGACGGGGTTTCACCATGTTGACCAGGATGGTCTCAATCTCTCGACCTCGTGATCCACCCGCCTCAGCCTCCCAAAGTGCTGGGATTACAGGCTTGAGCCACCATGCCCGGCCTTTTTTTTTTTTTTTTAAAGACAAGTTTTCGCCATGTTGGTCAGGCTGGTCTTGAACTCCCAACCTCAGGTGATCCACCTGCCTTGGCCTCCCAGAGTGCTGGGATTACAGGCATGAGCCACAGCGCCCAGCCGAGATGACCTCTTTCATAGTTCAAATATGACATACCACCTAGAGTCCCAAAATAATTTTTTTTTGGTGGGGGAGAGGGGACTGACTCTTTCAGGATCTGGCTCTTTCAACCAGGCTGGAGAGAAATGGTGTACTCTCCGCTCATAGCAACCTCCACCATCTCCCAGGCCCAAACCATCCTCCCACCTCAGACCCCTAAGTAGCTGGGACTACCACACCAGCTAATTTTTGTATTTTTGGTAGAGATGGGGTTTCACCACATTGTCCAAGCTGGTCCTGAACCCCCGGCCTCAAGCAATTCTCCCTCCTCAGCCTCCCAAAGTGCTAAGATTACAAGCATGAGCCACCGCACCTAGTGTCAAAATCACTTCTTAAGAGAGATCGTGATTGGCCAATACCTGGATCATATTTTATACCACATAAAACAAGTTTCTCAATAGAAAGAGTTCTATTTCCAGAAAGAACAAAGTGATTACTATATTCTTGCTATTTCAAGTGATGTCCAAACCAGCAGCAATGACATCCCACAGAAGCTTATTACAAAAATCAACTATCAAGATCTACTTTAGAACATTGATTGACCCACATGATTTCCAGGTGACATTTTTTGAGATAGAAGTTGGTAACTACTGAGACAGTAGGCAATTATACCTTCAGATTATTTTTTTTAGACAAAGTCTCACTCTGTTGCCCAGACGAGTGCAGTGGCACAATCTCAGCGCACTGCAACCCCTGCCTCCCGGATTCAAGCGATTCTCCTGCCTCAGACTCCTGAGTACCTGGGATTAGAAATGCAAACCACCATGCCTGGCTAATTTTTGTATTTTTAGTAGAGATGGGTTTCGCCATACTGGCCAGGCTGGTCTCGAACTCCTGACCTCAGGGGGTCTGCCCAACTGAGCCTCCCAAAGTGCTGGGATTACGGGCATGAGCCACTGCACCCAGCTTTATCTTTGGAATTTTTATGTCAACAATCAACATTTCTCAAAACTTCCATGACGGAATAATGACGTAATTTTACCTTTTCATTTTTTGAGATCAAAATCAATACAGAAGGGAGATAAATGTTTCCAACTAGAGAAAAATTTCATTAATATAGTTTATTTTGACTTTTGAGAAATATAATCTGAAATCTTTTAACAAAAAAAACTGAGAAAAATAATGAGGAAATGTAGTAAATGAGTGAACATGGAAGGATCACTTCAAATCCAAAACAACTAGTGGTTTAAAAATTCAAAGGTGGCCGGGCGCGGTGGCTCACGCCTGTAATCCCAGCACTTTGGGAGGCCGAGGCGGGTGGATCACGAGGTCAAGAGATCGAGACCATTCTGGTCAACATGGTGAAACCCCGTCTCTACTAAAAATACAAAAAATTAGCTGGGCATGGTGGTGCGTGCCTGTAATCCCAGCTACTCAGGAGGCTGAGGCAGGAGAATTGCCTGAACTCAGGCGGTGGAGGTTGCAGTGAGCTAAGATCGTGCCATTGCACTCCAGCCTGGGTAACAAGAGTGAAACTCCATCTCAAAAAAAAAAAAAAAAAAAAAAAATTCAAAGGTATGTCTACCTGGGAATGGAACCAGTATCACTGTATCTGACTTTTAGACAGCATCAAGTTAAACATCTAAGAAACAAAAAATTTGAACCACCTTCATAAATACCAACTTATATA